AGGGAGTTAAAAGGGTTGTAGAGGTTTGAAAAAAGTTTAATAATGACATGGTCCTAGAAATGTCTAGATAGGATGATATCAGAGATTGTCTTTGGTGCAGAAGAGTTCAATAGATGGAAATTTTTGTTAGCAGAGGAGAAAAGGTGATTGTTGCAATTATCGATGGAGAAGCTTATCTTTTTAGGGCATTTTCCGAAATTTGTAATGGATAACAAATGCTGAAATATAGCTTTAAAGATACGGAGCAAAGAAATGCAAAAATAATCTTGGGAGTAGTTTCGAGATCCATGAAGTCCTTTAAGGTTTTGGATGACACTTACAGTGACTTGTTGCTCTTTCGTGGATACTATGGGAAATGGTTACTGCCAATTGGAGAATGTCAAATCTGAACAAAGATAGAAATGTAGCTTAGTTCAGTCAGCTGTCTGAAGGACTATATTTGTATTTGTATGCGTAACGGCTCGTACACAAAGAGTATGATTTTTTTGCCAGTTAAGTTTAGTCACTAATTTATCAGTATACCCATGAAATCTAAAATATCAGTTCCGCAAGAACACAACATATGTCTCTATACTGTAACTTAATGAATAGTTTATTTTCTTGTTTTTCATACAGGTTAACCGAGGCCTTCTATCTTCTTCAATCATGGGTTCTTATATTGTTTTCCTTTGTTGGTCATCTATACAAAGGTGTTGATTTTAATGTATTGCAATTTTCTTCATTGTAAAATTCTCATTTTATTATAGTAGATCTCTCAGATGCCTAGTGCACACAAAATAAACTGGAAATTTGTATAAAATTTTGAACTTTCAATATCGTTTTGATCCATAAAAAGACATTTCAGAAAATATAATAGGATTTTCCAATAGTGGTCATTGACAGCCTTTCCAATCCCCAATTCTCAATTGCTTGTCATTGTTTAATCTCGCTGCATGTGATGTGCACTTGAAGAACAACGTCCAGCGTGGGACTTCTTCATCATAGAATAATATATGTGCGTTTAGATGCTCGTCGGTATCACAACTTTACGGATTTCACATGAAGCCACTTTTATTTGCAATGTTTGCTCTTTAACTTTGCGTTAATAGAATAAGAAAATCTATGTAGGTTTGTTAAAAGTTCTTTGTTAAAGAATGATACAAGCAGTTAAAATATGATTCATCCATATGAAAATCCTTAAAAAAAAGATACATTCTGACATGAAGAAAATTAATTCAACTTACCAGAAAGATTTGAATCTTACTACACATTTTTTTTCTCTATCTGGATAATGCGGGGAGTGAAGGGTTATCAGTAACATAAATTACATGGATTAAAGAAAACATGAAATATTTAGAGGTACATTATCACTAGATTCAAGATTCAAAACTTGCAGATGCCATTGAACTGCTACAATTTTCTAGCGGAGTTACCATTGTTTCAACTGTTACCCATGCCTTAGCATTTTCACATCAAGTTTTTTGTGAGTTTAGGAAATTTGGTGAGAATTTTGTATACTTAATGCTTTTTTTTTCCCCAGTGAACCTCCCATTGAGAAATGCAACATGCAGAAGGAGATGGCTGAGAAATTTGATTGGACCAATATAATTGTAAGCAAAAAACAAAAGATACAGGAGAACAAACATCGGTATTATGAACTTCTGACGCAAATATTTTCTGTTTTGTGTAGAGTTTACTCATCGCTATCTGTGCAATTGTAATGGCAACTTTCTCAACTGGGATTGATTCAAAAGCCTTTCAGGTGAAGCAGCTTTTTATCTTCTCATATATTACATCAGCAAAGAATTTAAGCACTTTTTTTGTCGAGAGAAAACTGCTTCTTTTTGCTGTATATACCTAAATTGTAATCTGGATCTGCTAGGATAAATCTATTCCTGAGTGAAAATGCAACTTTCAAGTGTTTTTCTATTACGATATTCTTTCACATATTCAGTTCAGGAAGGATGAGGAACAATCAGAAGATGATATACCCTACAAATACGACTTTTTCCATTTAGTATTTGCAATAGGAGCAATGCATTTTGCAATGTTATTCATTAACTGGCAACAGGACCATCCAACAAGAAAGTAAGTTGTTCCTCACTTAAAAAACCCGTGATATTTTTTATATTTAAATTAATTTATGCGATCCGAGGCTGCCTAGATTTCGGATAAATCTATCGTCGTTTCTGTTACTTTTCGATCTAAGTTTATAATGTATATAAATCAGATGGAGCATAGATGTTGGTTGGGCTAGTACATGGGTGAAGATTGTCAATGAATGGTTTGCTGCCAGCTTATACCGTAAGTTGCTTCAAAGTTGCTTGAACTTCTTGATCAATATATGTACCCTTCATTAGAACCAACTAAATACTAAATATTTATTATATACAGTGTGGAAACTAGTCTCCCCTGTCTTAATACATGATAAAAGTCTGGATCATGAAGATCCTGTTAGGCTTGCTAATGGATCGGTGTGACGACGACATCAGACCTTACGTACCTTCAAGCTCAATGTCAACATGTTCGATTGTCGATGTCAGTGTATATGTACCGTATATGTGGACATTGTTGTAAATCTTTTTCGTAAATGGCCCCTCGTATATGTATACTGTATTTGTTTTTTTGTCGCAAGAAAATTACGGCTTTAATGATGTAAAGTCTCATTATTTATTTGTGCCTAATGACAGACAAGGTATGCATATGATTTTCATTGTTTAAAGGAAATTAATAAATAGAATTTGCAATTTTCCCTAGCAGCAAATATGTGCAAAATTTCTTGTATCTTCCTCCTATGCATATTTGTGTGTCCCCTAAATTTGGCACTATGATTTCATTTGTCTGTCAACACTTGAAAATTAAGTACAAAAGGGGTCGATTTGTGCAATAAATGTTCTAAATAGGTCGAAATTGAAAATTTGTCCTAATTTGTTAGTTCTATCACATAATCCTAAACATGCTTTTGAATGGTAGACTCTAATGCTTATGAATGCAATTATGTAGCTAAGAAATTTGATGGATTCATACAAGAATACAGCACATGAAACTTAGTCCTGTTGACCTTTAGGACTTTTGAGAAGCTCATCCTAGCTGGATCCTCCCTTCGAAATTACCAATACAAATTTAAAATTTTAGTTTAGTTTTGTATGATAGCCACAGAATCGATCAAACAGAGTATATTATTCTAAGATAATTTTCTCCTAATTCAAATATATAAAAAATATCTCACTATATTGGGAGTTGGTAGGACACAAAGGAATCAAAAGACTCAAGTACATAATACTGGTCTATGGTTTTAGGTACGTAAACACTCAAAAATGATTAAATTGACTTTGCAAGAAGTCACCAAAACCTTTGGTCAGGTTCAAAGACTCTAAATCTTTTTGTTAGGCGACCTAAGATTTTGTCAAACGCTTCGGATCTTATCAGACTACAGCATTAACAAAAAATTTGTGTAGCATCAAAAGTCTGAAGAAGATGAACCAATGTCTAGATTCTCGAAGACTGCTAAGTTTCTAGCCTAACTTTGGTCATAAAAAAATGTAATAGTTTCGATGAATTGAATTGAGATTCCCAACCCCATCACCGGCAGGTGGCCCAGACGGTTAGGGGTTCCAATATGACTCACACGGTCTTGGATTTGATTCCGGATTGGGTTATGAATAAAAAAAAAGAGCTTCCCAAATTAAAAATTCACGTAAACAGACTGCCAAGAAAAAATTAGTTTCAATGTGATTTTATCATGTGTCGATGATAAGAATTAATCAATTTTATAAAAATTATGAAACAATATTGATTTATACGACATGTGACGCATGGTAATAACACACCGTAATCAGTTGGAATTTTATTCTTCAATTTCAAAGTTCCGTATTTTAATTATGGATCGATAATATTCACATATTTGATTTGATAGTATCAAACTATTAATAGTGTCGACTTACCTTAACTCTTAATACTTGTACAGTTTATTTGATATATAAGAAACGTGTGAATTTTATCAACAAGCCCCCCCCACTAATAATTTACATGACAAGCGATCACGTTAATGTTACATCACACATGAGATTGTGGAATGCAAAATGGCACGCCTTTAGTACATATAATTAATCAACCTCATCAAAAGATGGATGCTATGCCTTCAAATTATCAATTGCACTCTGCCTAATTAACCTTGGTTTATTTAGTGAGAGCTCATCATGTCATGTCACC